GTACCTGTTACCATGATTTTCATGTTGATTTTATTTCATTCAAATATCACCTGTTGTGTTGAATTAATTTTTTTATTGTGTTGAATTTTGTAGTTTATAATTTAAAACATGATTTGATATACCTGAAGAGAAGCTATATACCTAAGGATGCAGACTCATACTTTTTTTCATAACTTATATTCCCTAAGTAATACAATTATCATAAAAACATCATGAGAATAAAGGATTCAAGAATGTTTTTGAATTAAAAATTGGATTGTTTTTTAAGCCAAAAAATTATTAAATCAATGAAAGATCAGCAATTTATTAGATAAAGCTTTTAATATTGTTAGATTTATGGAGGAAAAGAGATAATCTTCAGGATTAGGTGAAAATCCCAGGTCAATATTTGACTGATATCAGTATAGTCCCCTTAGGAATAAAAAAATAAGATTTCCTGGTGAGAGAAGCAAATGGAGAAAGAGAAATTGCTGATTGCTAATTGCTTCAGGGCAATTTGTTTTCCACTAGACAGGGGCTATCCAAAGACTGGAGAAGTTTGGTTTTTTTAAAATTCCCTCCTTATCTCAGCTGAACAGAGAGATCACTGCACACCATCTGCTTATAGCAGATGCTGAAAACAAAAGCTAAATGGCAAATTATAAAGACACCAGTCCCTCCTCTCTTGAACCTCTCACCCACCCCCTATTCATCCCCTTTCCAGCTTCCTTGGACAGGATTTGCAACCTTGCATTTTCATTCTGTGTAAGTGTGCTGTCTCATCATTTGCAAACCTCCAGCTTTACACTATCAACTAAATCCACTTTGGTCACAGAGGGTTCCTGCTTCTCCTAGCCAGTTGGTGCTTTCAGAGTTCATGTTTTAGCCTCAGTCACAGGTAAGTATAAAAGGACAGTAAAACTGCTAAGATGTCCCTGCCCATTATGTTGGGACTCAGGTTGTAGACTATGAAAGAGAAATCCAATTTATCAGACACTAAAAACTCACTCGAGCAAAAAAGCCACATGAAGGTTTCCACTCTGAAAATGGTTAAGCCTGAAGTCAGACTGTGGTGTTAGCCATATTCATTGCTAAACAAAATATTTGGCCTCTGTCTTCAGTTGGAGAATATAGATATTAATCAAATGATTATACCAGTAGATGATATGTAGTTACAGTTGTAGAAACTGAAGAGCATTGAATGCATTAAGAGCATTAAAATAATGTGACAGGAAGGACCAAAGAGAGACTGGGGAGTTTGAATGCCATTTAAACTAAGTCTCCAGAGTATGAGTTAGCTGATCGAAAGAAGAAGTGGGGTTCTGTTCAGAATCAACAGAGTATGCAAAGGCTTTGAAGCAGTCAGGAGTTTGCTGTGATCAAGGAACTGAAAGAAGCCAGTGCGGTGAGAATGTGACTGTCAAGGGGGAACGTGAAGTGAAATGAAATCAGTCACCAAGAATCTTAACCTGTTTGAAGCCAGGTGGTCACCCTTGAAAGGTGTTCAGAAGGACAATGCTGTATACTCTTTTAAAAGCCAAAACAGATAAGAGGTTATCTTATTTGTCTGAGTGGAGATGTAGTTGACCAGGAATAGGTCAGTGGGGAGAGCTGTAGATGAAATTGAGAGATATTTTGGAGAGAAATTATACAAGTCCCAGTGAAGAACTAGATGTGGCGGTCTAGAGGTCAAACTTTTAGGTCAGATAGTCTGGGGGTGCAGCCTTGAGGGGATGAGTAACAGTGCTTCTAGGAACCAGGGAGGAATGTGACCACTTTATAAAAGGACATGATGTGCTCTGTTGGGTCTGAGGGAAGAAAGCAGGCAGGAAGACTGATTGGGATTGGGTATAGAAGAGCCTGAGCACCTCATCCCACAGAACTTGATCTAAAAATTGTCGTATAAAGTCTTTTTTTATTTCACAAATCGTATTTCAATATAATACTGTGGGAACATAGAAACACATCCTTTTTGTTAAACATGATAAACACCTACAATGATGTTCACATATAATTTCACTCTTGAGAGTTCACACTTTTGGCAAAGAGAATTCTCAAAATTTTAAGAGGGCTGGGCTTTTTGAAACTGGGCATGCCTATTTCCTTTCCTTCTTTACAGTTATAAGCCCAGGTAGCCAACCATAAGGTACTTCCATATGGAGTTTTCTGGGGACAGTTTCTGGGAATCATTGTACCTAGTCATATAACCTGTAGGGCATGCTCCAGACTATACGACCTCCCACATCCATTGTCTTGTCTTCTCAGCACCATATTCTTTTTCTTAGTCTTTTTTCTTGTTCACTGTATGTCTGCCTATGCTAAGCCCCAGGAGGTCAGAAACATCACTTTTTTTAAAGTTTGAAATAATTTCAGACATAGAAAGGTGTCAGGAAAAGTTCAAAGGCATATTGGCATACTCTTCCTTCAGATTCCCCAACTGTTACTATCTTACATTTGCCATTTGTTTGATCAGTTTCTCTTTATGTATACACATTGCTATGGACTGAATTGTGTCCCCACTAAAATTCAGTGTTGAAACTTTATCGTGTGTGAGTGTGTGTGTGTGTGTGTGTGGGGGGTGCTGGCCATTGAACCCAGGTCCTTGTACATACAAGGCAAGCATTCTATGAACTGAGCTATATCCCCAGCCCCAAAACCTTATCCTTAGAGTGTGACTATATGTGGAGATAGAGCCTTAAACAAGAATTATATTAAAATGAAGGCATTAGGTTGGGCTCTAATACAATCTGACTATAAGTGTCCTTATAAGAAGAGGATATTTAAAATATATATGTGTGTATATATATATATATATATATATATATATATACACACACACACACACACACATATATATATTTTATACACACATGCACACACACACATATATGCATATTTATTTATTTAATTATTTTTGGGTACTGGGAATTGAACTCAGAGGTGCTTTACCTCTGAGCCACATATCTAGCTCTTTTTATTTTTTATTCCGAGACAAGTTCTCACTAAGTTGCCTAGGAGGCTGGCCTTGAACTTGCAGTCCTCCTGCTTCAGCCTCCTGAGCACCCGGGATTACAGGTGTGTACCACTGCAACTGGTATATATATATTTAAATATACACACACAAAAGTATGGAGAGGGAGAGGGAGAAAGATAGAAAAAGGAGCACCCAGCAAACATACTTATATACATACCCTTATTTTAATTACATATCCTTATTTTTTCTGGACCATTTGAAAGTAAGTTGTCCTTTTATCTCTAAAGGCAAGTAGTGTGCATTCTCCTACATGTCACAATATGATTAGCTAAATCAGGAAATTAGCATTGTTACAATGCTAGTAACTAATTATAGACTTTATTCACATTTTGACAATTGTCCTATAATGCCATTTATAGCAAAAGAGAAAAAAGAAGAGAAACAAAAATATTAGAGGGTCCAGAACCCATTCCATACTCACATATCGCATTTAGTTGTCATAACTAAACTCTTTTAATCTAGAACATTTCCTCATTCTTTGTTTTTCATTGTCTTGGCATTTTTGAAGAGTACAAATGTTTTATCTTGTAGAGTGTCTCAATTTGGGCTTGTCTGATATTTCCTCATGATTAGATTAAAACCTTATAGCATATTACCAATTTCAGGAATATGTATTTTTCCCCCCACATTTAGGAATATGTTTTATTTTTGTTTTTGTTTTGGTACCAAAGATTGAACCCAGGGGTGCTTAACCACTGAGCTACATCCTAACCCTTTTTATTTTTTATATTTGACACAGGGTCTTGCTAAGTTGCTTAGGACCTCCCTAAGTTGCTGAGGCTGGCTTTGAACTTGATATCCTCCTGCCTCAGCCTCTGGAACTGCTATGCTTACAGGTGTACACCACCTTGCCTGGCTAGGACTATGTTTTTGTTCTTGAACAGTTTTTACATTGCAGGTCTGTGATCTTTCTTCTCAATGTAAAAATGAGAAATCTGTAACACTTTATAGGAGACTTATAGTTTTCCTAAATCACTGCATTTAATTTTCAGACTTGTTTAAAGCTATGAAGTGATGTGTCCTCAGTGCATCTATTGAGAAACTCATAATATGTTTGTTTCATGTGGCGATGTTAAATTTGATCACTTGGATTTTGTTATTAATAAGTATTTTGCTGGAGAGAGAGTTTGAGACTGTGCAAAAATGCTGCCAGATAAAATACAGAAAAACCAGTTGAATTTTAATTCCAGAAAAATAATAAGTGCTTTTTAAAATACAAATTTGACCTCCTCAAATTATTTATCTAAAATTCTAAATTAATCGCACGTCTAGAGGCTGGGGATGTGCCTCAAGCGGTAGTGCGCTCGCCTGGCATGCGTGCGGCCTGGGTTCCATCCTCAGCACCACATACAAACAAAGATGTTGTGTCCGCCGAGAACTGAAAAATAAATATTAAAAAACTCTCTCTCTCTCTCTCTCTTAAAAAAAAATTGCACGTCTAGTATTTTTATTTGCTACATCTGGTGAACCTATATGTAAGTATCTCATTCCACATCCAACTTTCATCCAGTTGCTTCGACATTCATTGAGGATTCCGAATCAGTTTTTACTATGACTTTACCAAATATTGATTTTCCAACTCCATTTTTATTTCTTTGTTGATTATCTGCCTTTTTATCCACACTTTATTGCAAGCCACTCCACGAGTGACCCGGCACACAGTACGCCCTCAGACATTTGTTCAATGAATGAATGAACTCTAATTCCTGTCGGCCAGGCGTGGGTGACAATGGCTGCGTCAGGCAGGGGCTTGACTTCCTCAGCCAATCAGGCCATTCTACTCAGCCTTATTAGCCTTCTAGAGCCAGGTTGCCGGCTCTTCTTGCTCCAATCATAAGCCGGGCTCTATCCTGCACCGCTTACGTTTAATGGAGACAACCGATTGGCTCTCTCGGCTCCAGGACAGCCGGCAGAGTGGGGCAGAGACCAATGGGTGTCGGTGGGAGGCGGGGCCTACCACGGGGTGGAGGTATAACCGCAAGGCCCGCGCGCGCGTTTCTCTCCCGGCACGGGCACCAACCCTGGCGATGGCTGCAACTTCACTGTTATCTGCGTTGGCCACCCGGCTGCTCCGGCCCGCGCAAAGCTGCCACCTCCTCCATCATCCCTTCCACCTGGCCGCAGTTCGGTAAGTGAATCTGGAAGCGGGACAGCACGGAAAGCCGGGGAAAACGGAGAACAGGGGCCGCCAGGCTTCCGGTGGGGTGCTGAGGTACGTCTTTCTGAGCATCGCCCTGGCGGTGGTGGCCGCCTGGAGGGGTGTGGCGGGGCGACGTGGCACCGAGTGATGCCGCAGCCGACAGTGCGGAGCGAAGGTTCAAAGGACTCTGGGGTGCCCCTTTTTACATGGGAACATAAGGAGGTTATCGGCCAGAACCTGCCGACGCTGGCTGTGATGCGGAGAGTCGTCTTGGGAAACCTTGGGCGAGCGCCGGGAAGGGTTCCGAAAGAGCCGCCTTCTGTTAGCGGTCCTTTCCCGAGACCCTAGCGGTGGATGGGGTTGGTGCAGTCTGATGAAATCCCGGAGCCCGCTTGCTAGAGGGGTACCCACGCTTCGCTCCTCCTCCGGGGGGTGGGTGTGGCTCGCTCTGCGCTCCTAGTGCGGCTTCGCGGCTGTGAATGAATGTACTGAGGTCTTCAGGGCTTTGACTGCAATCCACTCCACGAAGTGACCCATGCCAACCTGGGTAACTTGAGGTGATAAATACCCGGAGGTTTCCAGGGACTGGGGAAGGAGGAGTGGGGAGTTACTGTTGCATGGATAGTTTCGGTTTTACAAGATGAGTTCTGAAGATGAATAGCAGTGATGGTTGCCCTTCTATTAAATATGAATTATTTAATACAGCTGAACTGTAAACTTAAAAGTGATCAATATGGCACAGTTTATATGTGTATTTTACCACAATTAAAAAAAAATTGGAGAAAAAAATACCAGGAGGAAGACAGGGAAAGCTCTGGTTGAATTTCCTTAGGGAGGTAGGTAATTGGTTTTTCTTGATCTTTTTGAACCTCAAAGTTCCATTCCTAAACCTAGCTTGAATAGTCTTTTGAGGGACTATGATTTCTCTTCCCACATTTCTGCACCCTCTTTCCTGTCAATCTTTAGATCTTTTGCAGCTAGAGTCCTATATCTTTAAAAGTAACTTTTATTTTTTTCCCCAACATATATTCACTGTTCCAGACACTCTGCTAAGCTGTGCAGATTTAGCGGGGATAAAACACTGTTCTTGTAAAAATGCTGTTAAAGATCTTTCCAAGGGGCTGGGGTTGTGGCTTAGTGGTAGAGCGTTTGCCTAGCACTTGCGAGGCACTGGGTTCGATCCTCAGCATCACATAAAAATAAAAATAAAGGTATTGTGCCCAACTACAACTTAAAACACACACACACATACACACACACAAGGTATTTCCAAGGCACTGCTGGTTACAGCTCATGATGTAGAATCTGTGTAGTATGAGTGAGTTTTTGAAGGAGAATGTGGAAGGGGACAATCAAGACTTTTTGGTCTGATTCTGATCAGCCTTTTGGTCTCCTCTTTCATTACTGTCTGTTCTTTTCCCTCTTCCTAAGTGCTGACCACATGTGCTTGTAGGACAGAGCCTTCTTAGGCTTTTCTGATTGAAAAGATATTTATAAAGATCTTAGAACTAAACCAGTTTGCTTAAACACTGATGACAAATGTTCTGATTTTACTGCTTGCCTTTCTGAATTACTAGTGGGCTCCACATGTTTGAAGGCAATGCATGTGCTCTGCACTGCACATTTGTTATTAACAGAGCCCATGTTTTGCTGTTTGAGAGTTTCAGGAACACAAACACTGTGGTTAGATGAGTACTATAGCCTAGGAGATAGTGGGGGAGAGGGGTAAATGAACTCTGAGGCAGAAGTCTGCATTTGAGTCTTGTTTCTACTATCTTCAGTGTCCTCTTCTGTGCAAGAGGGTTATTATAATAACCCCAGGGTAACTGAGAGTGATGTATGTAAAAGTTTTAACAAAGTACCTACTATTAAATAAATGTTAATTCCATTCCCTTTTGTATCTTTCTTCACTAATTACTGGTACTATTAGTAAGAAGAAATAGACCTCTCCCCAAAATAAGTTGATTTTGAGCTGTAAAATGCCCCTAATGGTTGATGTTTGATGGAAAATGACTAAGCCATTGGGTTAAAGAGAAAGTGAAGATGGTGCTGACTTGAATTTTAATTTCAAATTTACTGGAACAGACTTCTTGACTTCTTCTATTCTGTTGATTCATTGTTTGAATGGAAAAAATTTCTAAACACATTTGCAAAAGCACTTAATTCCTAAATATGTGTTAGCTAAAAGCATTATAATGTTTGGATTTCTTATGGGACTGGGCTGATTCTTCCCATTTCCCTGTTTATTGAGGATAGCAATGACTTATCTGCCCCTGGGCAAAAGAGATGATAGGAAGTTAGTTAATGTGTTTCACATTTTGCAAGAGTTGTGAGAAGCAGAGGAGGGCTAAAATGCAGTTATATTATGAAAGATCTTCATTACATTGTGGCTTTATTTTTAGTTCATGTTGCTCTTCTGACTTTTTTTTTTTTTTTTTTAAAGCAAATTGGCATAACACCCAGAACCTGCTTTTGGAAGCAAAGATTGGGGCTTGGAACACTGGCTTCTCCAAGAACCCTGTGTCCTTAACTTTAGTATATCATTTTTAGTCCAAGTGAGCTGCTACCATTTTTCTAAGTTACTGCTTTTCAAAGAAATTTTTTATGAAGGGCAAGCTAAGTGCTTCTCACTGAGTATATGTGTGTGCATTTGTGCGTGTGAATAATTCCTTTTGACTATGCGAAAATATATTCACTGTATATTAAGGATATATGTGTACATACAACCAAGAGAAGAGTGTAAGAAATTAATGTTATTGAACATACATACCTGACATTTTTATATACATTACTTCATTCAATACACATGACTATCTTAAGTTGTTTCCTTTCTTTCTTTTTAATATTTTTTAGTTGTAAATGGATCTTTTAGGGCCTCATACAAGCCAGGCAAGTGCTCTACCACTGAGCCACAACTCCAGCCCCTATCTTATGTTCTTTTTAAGAAGTATTTGATACTGTAGCATTCTAGGGTTGAGGATGTATTTCTGGTCAAGGAAAGGTATTCCAGATACTTACTAATCATTCCTGATCTATATCAGGAATGTTGCCAGGGGTATTTATATCAGCAAAGCTCTTAATGAAGTTCTATTCAACTCTAGATGATTTGTGAATATTAAGAATGTTTTCAATATAAATTAAATGCTATTATATATTTTTGTACCATATTAGTATCATTACATTAAATCTGGGTAGAGATCTTGGTACCTTTTTTTTTTTGTTCTTGTCTTTTTTTTGTTCTTGTTGAGATCTTAATACCTCACAAGATAGAGTACAGATTAATATAAATTTTAGCTACAAATTTTCTCTATTACTATAAGACATTGAGATTTGGTTTAGAGTAGGTATTTATTCACAATGCAAATAAAAAGCAGGCATTAAAAAGATGTTCACAATGCAAATAAAAAACAGGCATTAAAAAGATTTAAAGATGTTAAAGATTTGAAATTCTGTCTTAAGTACCATTGGCCTTGAGTATTAACCCTATATGACCATGCAAGATGCTGTGTCCCTGAGAATTAAACATGTATTTATAAGGGGAATTGATGTTTCATTGTTCTTAAGGTTGGAGCAATGCTCATATGACACTGAGGGCAGAAGCCTAAAGAGAAGACTTGTTTTTGTGGGATCTTTTTGCTTAAGGACAAGATTCTTTTCTGTAAGTAATGGCACTTTACTAAACATGTAGCTGGACACATGTTCACCACCTCATACTAGGCACCAGGCATTTTAATCTAAGCTTTAAAAGTGTGGAGTTTAATAACAACTTACTTTTACAGAAATCTAAGCTATTTGGTTTTGTGACTCTGTTGCCTTCTGCAGAAATGAAGCTGTTGTCATTTCTGGAAGGAAACTGGCCCAGCAGATCAAGCAGGAAGTGCGGCAGGAGGTGGAAGAGTGGGTAGCCTCTGGCAACAAGCGGCCACATCTGAGTGTGATTCTGGTTGGTGAGAATCCTGCAAGTCATTCCTATGTCCTCAACAAAACCAGGGCAGCTGCAGATGTGGGTACGTATCACTTTCAGACCTTTCTGCCATTCAGTTGAATCTGAGGCAGACGCCATTATAATTTATGATTCCTTTTTCTGATTAGAAAACTCAGACAGAGGAGGCTAATATGACTGAATTGTATCCAAAATGTTGTGAAGAAATTAGATCCAATTTACTGGGGAGGCTTATTGACTGGGACAGGAGGAACTTGATTGGCATTCTTGGTGTCTTCTGGAATGTGAGCTAAATTCTTGGCATTAACATTCTACAGGTGATCTTGATATTTATATTTGCTTTTCTTGAGGAATAATGAGAGTCTCTGACTTGGGTGTAGCAGTTTTAAAGCAGCAGGGTAACGGGGAAAGATTGAGCAATACGACATTAAGTCATCTTAGTGATGTGGTTAAACAGTCACCGATTTGAAGGAAATGACTCCAACTTCTGAGAAATAGCTTTTGACTTCTTCACTGATTGATTGCAAAACTAATCATGCAATTAGAAGTGATTTGGGTCCAGGTGGTAGGAGGTTTGTAGGTCTTGCAGTACCACAGATTACTGCGTGACTTCGGACAAGAGGTGGTGGGTTCGGATTCACCTGTGCCCACTCACTTGTGGGTCAGTGGTCTGAGCAAAAGGTGCCCTTTCCTCTGGCCTTCCAGTGTGGCTGGATGGAGTTACCAGCCTCTGAACCCTTGGTGTACTCTGTGATCACTGAAAATTGAGACCTCCTGCCATTTTAGCTGAAAATCTGAGTTACATCTCAAGCTCCCCCCACAACCCCCCATCACCTTTTTTTTTTTTTTAATTTAGAGACAGGGTCTCACTAAAGTTGCTTAGGGCCTCATAAGTTGCTGAGGCTGGCTTTGAACTTGCAATCCTCCCGCCTCAACCTCTCAAGCTGCTGGGATTACAAGCATGCACCACCACTCCTAGCACTAAGCTAGCTTTAATCTGTCTGCTTTAGTCTCCTTGTCTCTAAAATGAGAGTAATGAAAATTGCATAGAATAATGTATGAAAGTGTCGAGCTAGTCTTCTGTAGCCTATATATGTGCAAAGTTAAACTTCTTAGGTTTCTTGTGAGCTGGTTCAGCTGCCAGGGTGGATCCAATGATTAAAAATCCCTGTGGTAGCAGAGTTTGGCTGGCAACATAGTAGTGCTCACTAAGTAAGTAACTCATCATTTTCTTACAATAGGAATCAACAGTGAGACAATTGTGAAACCAGCTTCAATTTCAGAGGAAGAGCTGTTGAATTTAATCAATAAACTAAATAATGATGAAAACGTAGATGGTCTGCTTGTTCAACTCCCTCTCCCAGGTGAGTTTTACATTCTAGTTAATGGTGTCTGAGCCATGGAGAGGCTTGGCTACCTTGTACACCTGGCCCTTCATGTGAATTTGACTTAAAGGCAAGGTAAAAAGATTATTTTATTAGAAATGGGACGGATCTACTTAGAATACCACTTGTCTCCATATTGAAATCTTTGTACAAACCACAGTGGAGGGAAGCAATGGAAAAAAAAGGGTGTTGGCTGCCATACTGGCATTTGACGTCTGTAAAGATGAAGTGCATCAGGGAGGCAAGTCAGAAATGGGATGGATTTGTATAACAAATCAGATAAGATGGAGTCAAATACCCCCAACTACAATATAGTGATTTAAAGCTGGGCTTTGGTTTCTTTACAGAACACATCGATGAGAGAAAGATCTGCAATGCTGTTTCTCCAGACAAGGATGTTGATGGCTTTCATGTAATTAATGTAGGGCGAATGTGTTTGGACCAGTATTCCATGTTACCTGCTACCCCATGGGGCGTGTGGGAAATAATTAAGCGAACTGGTAGGTATATCCCAGAATCTTATGTCTTGTTAGAATTATCAAGGAAGTATGGGTAAAGCGTTGTCAATGTTTGGATTAGGGATTCTCAAGTGATAAACTTATTTAATAAATAAATAAATATATATATATATATACATATATATATATATATACACACACACATACACATACACACACACACACACACACAATATGATAAAATTATAAAGATGAACTTTCTATACAAATATTCCAAAATCTGAAAATCTCTTGACATCTGAAACACTTCTGGTCCCAAGTATTTCAGATAAGGAATATGCAACCTATACTTACAAATGGCAAAAATTCCTACAATTCCAATGAGTGGAGCCGTAGTCCACATCTTTTATTCCTACTCTGCTGTGCTTACCTCTTTTGACACTTGTCTGTGAATATTTGGAGACTTTAATTCAGAAACCTCAGGAAAGGAACTTAAGATTTAATAGTGGTGGTGGTCTACATTCTTATAACATTTTCTAATTTATAGGGCATATTCTCTTGTTTCCTTTTTTCTTCTCTTAGGTACTGGTAATTGAACCCAGAAGCACTTTACCACTGAGTCACATCCTCAGCCCTTAATTTTTTTTTTTTTTTTTTTAAA